CTCCCTCCCTCTCTCGTGCTGGGAATTGATCCTAGGGCCTCAGGCATTCTAGGCAAATGCTGTACCACTGAACTATCTTGCTAGTTCCCACACGTAATTCTTTCCAGCGCTGTTTCCAAGAAGGGAAGCAGAGAAAACCAGTAGTTATAACCAGTGAGCTCAAGGTGGAAAAGATAACAGCATGCCTGTATGTTGATGAGAGTACTTTTAAATAGAAAAAGGGTTGAGATGTAGGAGTGAGGGCAAAATCGTTGGAAAGATGTTGAGTAGAAGGAAAGGCTTAGGATGCACTGGAGCCCGACAGGCTTTGTGTCAGGAGCTCTGATGTGCTTTGATGTTACAGGAGGGAAGAGCAGCTCCTGGGGATGCTGATGAGTGTGAAAAGGTGTGATGGTGGGAGCTTTGGCCAAACCTCTTCTGAATGTGTCTTGTGGTGTAGGAAATAATCGCTTTTGGGAATAAGTTTGGGGAAGAAAATATTGTCTGTTTGAGTGAAGAGGAGAAGGCAGAGAAGAGTCTTGTTAGAGAGCAGGAAAATGAGTGAGTCAGAGAACTTAACATTGCAGGACAGTGTTAGGGGCCTGTAGGTTAGTGGTCACAAATTCGGTGTAAAATAACTGGGATGAGCTGTGTGTTTTTCTCCTGGCATGTTTGGTTACAGATGTAGTGAGTTGGATTTGACTGGTTTGTAATTGTGTTTTGTCAAGAGCTTAAGATAAAGTGATAAAGGAGGTAAGAAACTTAAGGTATACTGAGGCAAGTGACTAAGGACTGGCTGTGGGAGTTGAGTTGGGAGGAGCAGTAGGACAGTGCAGATGGGGATGGAATATCTAAGACTTAAAGACTTGCTAGAATTGGAGTTCCTGTAGGAATCAGCATCAAGGTGAGGAGCTGTAGGACTGGGGTGTTGCTCCTTGATGGAGTTCATTCTCCACCATGCATAAATGCATGCATGCATACAGGCAGGTTAGGGATTGTAGTCTGGAATTAGCATGGAGAGGTTGCAGTTTGCCAGTCATGTCAAGGCTTCCGACATAGTAAGCTGCCGAAGCACAATGGAGGTGGAAAGCCCTGGGTGGAGTTTTGTTAATGGCTCTTGGTCAGTTCCAGAATGCAGGGTGAGAGTTTTCAGGGCTGGGGGAAAGGAGCAGATAGGATCAGAGCTTCTCATACTTCATGACTTAGAGAGCCCAGCTCATAGTAGGTATCATCAAATATGTGTTGAACAAGTGTTACTGGAGTGACAGTACCTGAACTACTTCCCATTGTTTGTTCACTCATTGATTTATTAGAGGAAATGTGGCAGTAGAAGCATTTGGACTGATCAGAGTAAAATGTTAGGGATCATTTGCGATGGAGTCCTCTGCCTTCCTTGGAAATCCAGGGTGGTGTGAGCTTTAGGCGGCTGTGTACACCAGCCTGAGTTGGCCACAGCAGGAGACCCTAATCCATATTTGCAGCTGGATTTGTATGTATTATTTTCATTTACTGTGGAATTAGCTTTTTGAATAACCAAATAGACTAATACTTTAACATTATAATGTCAGTCTGTACCTCAATACATTGCAATGTTTTACTTACCAACTTTTCTGACAAAGCATATTTCTTACTAATAACGTGATAGAAATCCCATGTGAATTTCCTGCTACACACATTACCAGGGGCTGTCCCAGGAACTAAGTTCGGTTACTTTTTATTCGTTGCCAGTTGGCAGGAGTCACTAAACTTGATATACACAATCAGAGTTTTCTTCTTGAGTTTCTTTTAAGAGCTGTTGTTACATATAAAATTAAACTCGTAAGTTTTAAAATTTCTAAGAAGTTATTCCTATTATTCAGTTATCCTTGATTAATACTTGATTTTGCTATAGGAATTAGGGAGACTGCATTATCATAGTACTGGGGAATTTTTTTCCTTATTTAAATTACATACCTTCAATTGTGGAAGTATATGGGGCAGCAGCCATTTAGGCAACTTCCACTGCACATGTACTAACTTGTTGAATTTGTAGAATGACTTAGCAGGAAAGGATTGTTCTGTTTACTGACATGATGGAACTCTTGTCAGCTGGCTGCCACATGTAGAGTAGAATTGGACTCCAGTTAATCTGCCTGATGATTTTAACCCCTAAACAGCACTGTTTCATAGAACCTTAGCGTTCTCATGGTATTGGTTTAGTCACTAAGGAGCACTTTTTCTTTGTTTTTTTGAGATGGGGTCTTGTTACATAGCTCAGGCTGGCCTTGAACTCCCTGTGTAAAATGAGTGCTACTGAAGTGACAGAGTGTCTAAACTATCTCTTGTTTCTTATTTGGTAATCCTCCTGTCTCAGCCTTCTGAGTGTGGGAATTACAGGTGTGTACACCACACTTAGCTCAGATCTTGTGAATGATCTGAAAACCCAGGGAGCCTCGGCTCACCTCAGCTTGTAGCTTCTTATCCATTTATACACATGCTAGCTGCTGTGGTTGTGGCAGAGAATGAAAATAGACTCTGTGGAGTCTACAGACTTGGAAAGAGACACTTTGATCAATCATACAAAACTAAAATCATAAATTTGAAAATGAATCAGGTGTCAAAGCTAAATTATCTAGTGTTATTCTGTAAGGAATAGCCCGTTTGAGAGTCAGGTGCTTCTTAGGGGCTGGAGCTATAGCTCAATGGAAGCTCTTGCTTAGCATCAACAAGGTCCTGGGTTTGATCTTCAGGACACACACACAACACACACACACACACACACACACACAGAGCTTCTTTGAAGTCATGGATGTTCTTTGAGGTCATAATTCACCTGAGATAAAGAAACAGCAGAAACCTTAGCCAGGTCAAAAAGGGAAGAGGAGCACGGCACAGGGCTTGTGCCAAAGTCCTATGTAAAAAAAGAGCACAGAGTTTTAAGAAGCAACAGCCAGTACAGGGTGTGGAAGGGAGCATGGTGCAACACAAAGCTGGAAAAGATAGTAACTGAGAATTTCTGTCATTACCCTAAGAGCAATGGAAAGCCACTGAGCTATTTTAGGCAGATTTCTACCACAGAGCTACACACTCAGTCTTGGAATAGTTTCAATAAGGAGGCGTTGTGATTGATATATGTTCTGCGTGACCTGTGTGTCTAAAGTAGAAGCAGCAAGAGAAGACTGTGGAGTCTCTGAAAGGGACAGTGTCCTGGTCCTGAAGGGAGATGGCGTTGTGGACTAGTGACGGGAGTGCAGAAAGAAGTGGGTAGAACCGAAGGACTGTGTAAGGAAGCAGGCACGCCTTGATGCTGGGGTGGATAGTGGAGAGTCAAAGCCTGGATAACTTCTGGTTTTCTGGTTTTCCAACAGGATTGATGCAATCAGTGCACTGAAGTTAAGGAATGCTGGACCGTTTTGGACAGGAACAGGAGTTTCATGTTCATTCACTTTCATTTCTCACTATGTATGAGAGGCACTGTTCTAGGATTTGGAGATTTATTAGTAATTGAGGCAAAAATTCCTGCCTTCATGGAACTTCCATTTTTATTGGAAGAAATAGACAACAGATAGTTTTTAAAGATAATTTCAGGTAGGAGGAAATTATGTGAATTAAACTTCAAGTGACCTCCAAGGGATGGGTGAGGCTTTGTAGTTTGGGCAATCAGGATAGGCACCCTGAGGATGTAACACTTTAGCCAAGAACTGACTCAGGAGGAAGGTGAGCCTGCAGAGAACCCAGGTGTTTTCCAAGTAGAACAAACAGCAAGTGCTTGATTGCGCTCTTCCAGGGCTGAGTTGTTTTGTTGTGTTTTATGCTTTCTTTTTATTCATGTATATTCGACACTAATGATGAGTTTTGCTATGACATTTCATACATTTATATGATGTATCTTTTCACATTTACTCCCCATTACCCTCTCTTGTTCACTTCCCCCTGACCCCTCTCTCCTGGCTAGTCCCCTTTCTGTTCCCTCCCCTCTCTTCCTCCCTCCTTCCCTCCCGCTACCTTCCTACCTCGTTTCTTTTGTGACCCATTGCATTTTATTAGGGCTTCTTGTAACGTCCTGTGTAATTTATAAGATTATTTATAAGAGCATAGGCTGCTCACCTCAGAAGAAGATGTCTCTCCTTTCCCAGCCACTTGCTGCCTCTAGATAACTCAGGGACGGGTGGAGCTTGTGAGCCCCTCCCCGAGCTACCATATCTTCCTGGAAGCCTTCAGGAGGAGCCTGCTGAGTTTTAAAGAGTGTAAGATGTAAGGGGGAGCCTAGGGAGAAGAGTAGGGAATGGGGTTGGAAAGGTGGGGGGGTGAGGCGTTTGGGTGCTAAGGGCACTGCCCTTGAAGATCTAAAGTCAAAGCCAGTATTCAAGGCACCTGGGAACAGTGTGGCCAATAAAGAGGCTTTAGGCTCATAAACATCACACAGTTTCTTTAAACTTGGAACCCCCCCAATTAAAATATTTTGTAGGTTTCATTCAGGTCTTTTTAACAGTAGTAAAACCAGGTTGACAGATTCTGAAACATGTTGGAAAAGAAGAGAAAAAGAATGATTTCCCTTCAGAGTGACTTGTATTTTACTGATTCTGTTAAAATGGGAAAAAGTGGAAAATAGATTTGTGTTTTTCTCCTTCGTCTTGACTTAAAATAAGTTCTTTTGGTTGATGCCCTAAACTATCACCACTTTGAACCAGTTAGCTCTTCAATTGTGGAAAATGTGACCTCTAGTTAGAAACCCATGTCTTAAAATGTTGCATCCATAGACTCAAATTAGTGAAGGCAATAGTTACAAGAAATGATCAAAAGAATTTGTATCTGCATTTGATTTTACTAGTTTGCATCTTTTAAAATACAGAATTGTCAGGAACTCTCAGGATTAAGATATATTGTCACCATGGAAAGCAGAATAGTGGCAAAAGAAGAAATGTCATACCTGCTGTCTAGTCACATTCCCTGTTCAATTTTTGAGCTACTTAGGTGTAATGTGTAATAAATATAGGCAAGGTTTTATAGTCTAGTTTTTTTCTTTTTTATATACTGGTTTCTTTTCAGATTGTATAAATTTTTTGACTTAAATTTTTTTGCTTAGCTCTTTGTGAACAAATTTCCATACCATTAATCATCATTTATTTCATTTTATGGCAGCATAATAGATATACTCCCTATAATTTAATGTCATTTTTTGAAATCAGATATTTTTAAAATCTATTTTTTAATTTTTATTTCATGTATATGAGTGTCTTACCTGCATGTGTGTGTGTTCGTGTCAAGCAATGCCCGAGGAGGTCAGAAGAGGGTGCCGGATCTTGAGTTACAGATGGTTGTTAGCCACCGTGTGGGTGCTGGGATTTGAACCCAGGTACTCTGCAAAGAGCTACCAGTGCTTTTAACCACTGAGCCATCTCTCTAGCCCCCTCAAATCTATTTTTAATTCAGATTTGTATTGTTATTTATTTTTTTATTTTGAAATAAACATTATAAAGAATTCCGTCTGATGGTTGCTTTTTTTCCTCAGCACTCAACCAAGTTTTATTGAAGTTATATTTTTGTTCATATTATTATCATCTCTTCATGTAATATTCTGTACAGTGAAAACACAAAATTTTAAGGTTTATACTATTTTTTTCTGGGCTCCCAGAAAGTCTGAAAGGTTCCAGTCTTCCTACATCTTTGTCATACCTGTGTATTACATTTAATTAAGGTAATTTCTACAGTTTGGTAAGTGAACAGTTAGAACCTCTGTCTTGTGATATTTTTGAGTTCTAGTGAGGTTGAATGTTTGCTATACATGTGTGCATATGAATTATTTATTTACGCCTTTTTCTTTTTAATTAAACATTACTTTTAAGGAAATATTTATGTAGGGTGATAACTCATTTTTAATCACGTTTCCCCCAAGTTTTGTCATTTAAGATGCAATGTAATGTATGTAGTTTAGTTTTTAAATGGGCAGCTCTGCTTTTCTGTTGTTGGTGGTTACACTTGGGAAGTCTTCTCTCCATGGAGACTGCGTCACTTTCTCCCACACTTTCTTCTATGACTTGTGAGTGTTTTGCATTTGGATGTTGGTTCCTTTGTTTATATTTAGATACACACGCATGCATCTTCTCTTTTCTGTCATCTAGAAAGGAAATTGTGCTGTGTCTCCACTGACACCTCCTGCTGCTGGTATGGAGACAGTTGATCCCCTGCCTTTGCGGGAAGATTGCGAGGCCCGTATCCCCAAATTTGCTGAGGCTACTCTTCCAGTTTCGGAAATTGCAGAATACCCAACAAACACCCCTGGACAGCCTTCTCCATGTGCTCTGCCTTGCTGGCACCCTACCCGTCGGATTCAGGGCTGTCTGAGAGATCCAGAGTTTCAGCATAATGGTAACTATCTCGGTTTTAATTTTTTGTCCTTTAAAAAGAAAGTGATAGGTAAATGGTATAAGTAGGTACTTCATGCAAATGAATTATGTTATTTAGTCTTTTTTTTTTCAGTTTATAATGGAGTTTTTTCTTTTCCCTCTTCCTTCTTCTCTCCCTTTTTCTTCCTTCCTCCTTTCTTTATTTCTTCCAGTTCAGAGGCTCCCACTAGGAAGCCCAGGCTAATGGATTTCCTTAAATGGGGAAAAATTTCCTTTGGGGACACTGGACTGTGTTGCTGCACTTGATTTCACTTTTATAACGTGAAAGGTGTCTCTCCAGTACTTACCTTGCACGCGTAGGGAACCTGCTAGATGCTGGCATTGCCTCTTCTCCAGGCCAGACAGCTGGACATGACACTGGACATGGACAGGTGTTGCTTGGTATAGAATTCAAGACCTGGTTTTCCTTTGGCTTTGTTAGATGCTGCTGTGCTGCTTCTCACCCTCTGTCACCATCCAGAAGTCTCCTGCAGTTCTGGCCTGCGTCTTTTGTGTGTGCTACATTCTTTCCTGTAGTGTTTAAGGTCCTCTTTTCCTACCGGATGCTCTGATATTTCACAGTGATATGTCTGAAGTGGGTGACTCCCCATTCATTTTACTGGTTCCCTGTAGACTTTCCAATCTGGTAAACTCTCCTGGGAAGTTTTCTTAAATAGTAATTTCTTCATTTTCTGATCGCTTTCTCTTTTCTGCTCTTCCTGTTGTTTAGATGTTGGACATTTTGTGTGATCATCTTTTATTTCCAATCTCTATCTTTTTATTTTAATTTGAAAGTCTTGCTAATTTTATACTGTATCTCCTCTGTTGTTTTTAAAAATTGCTATCATATTTTTAATTTCTTAGGTTTTAAAAATAGTGTAGACTCATTTTTTAATAACCTCCCATTTTATTTTAAGGATGGTGTGTTATCTATTTGAGTGTGGTGTGTGTGTGTGTGTGTGTGTGTGTGTGTGTGTGTAGCTAGATAGACTCCAGATACATAGATACAGACAGATGGGAGATAGAAGAAAGAAACATGGATAGATGGATGGATGGATGGATGGATAAATGGGTTCAGTGTGTTTTGAGTGTGATCCTCTTGCTCTCTGGTGAACCTTATGTTCATAAGTCACAGTAGCTCTGATAGGACTTTATAGGCAAAACTTCCATTCCACTTTTGGGAGAGGCAGTTTCCAGCTATGTAAATTTAAAGAATAATCTTGGGTCTAGCTGTTTTGTACAAAGATTTTCAAGCAGTCTCCTGATTCATCTCACCTTCACTATAATTCTCAGTGAGACTCTGTATCCTCAGACCTCAAGCCATCAGGGAACAAATTGGTTGCTGCCTCTTAGTTTCTCCTCTGCTGGCTTAAGAACTCAAATCCCTGGGATGAAATTACATACTTACTCCCCTTTCCATTTTCCAAAGTTTTTGCTGTTTTTGTCTTTCATTTTCTTTGTGCTGTGGATTTCTGTTATCTTTATAAATATATGTATTCAGTTTGTCATTTCTCAGCATAAGCCCCTGTTTCTGTAAAGTTAGATCAATATTATTGAAAGCAATTCTGTGAACTTATTCATAGTTTATCTACTTCTAAGTACATTTAAGTGACTTAGTCGCCCTTTGATATTGTAGTTTCTAAAAATCAATTGATAAAATTTCTGATTGTGCACTTTACTGAATTGTCTTTTGTCTCTTTTGTGCTGCTATATCATATTACCTGAGACTGAGAAATTTATTATGAACAGAAATGTACTGATTGAGAATTCTGGAGGCTGCATCCAGAGAGGCTCTTCTCCACATGCATCTCTTTGCACAAAGGCAGAGAGAAGGCAAAAGTGGCATTGGGTCATCACCTACGCACCTTTTAAAAAGGTCTCACCTCCCAGTGCCTTCTCAGAAGCAGTTCAGTTTCATCGGGAATTTTGGAGGAGACAAGCATCAAGTCTCAGATAGCATTAATATGTGCTATGTGGTAACTCTGAAGGATAATTTCTTCTGCTTTTTTTTTTTAAAGTGGGAAAAACAAGGACGAAAAATTTCCAGTTACCCCAGCATGAAGCCTTTAATGATGAAGGTATTTGAGTAGTCACGTAAGATCAAAGCAAGAGGTTCCTTTAAGGGTATTTGTATTAGTATAATGTCTTGTATTTGAATGGCACTTTGTAGATTGCAGAGTACTTCCACAGATGTTATTGCATTAGGTCCTTGAAACCTTGTGATTGGGGTAAACTTATTCCCATTTTGCATATGAGTCACGTGGGACTATGTGGTGAAGAGTCTTTTCTGAGGCTAACAGTTGCCTCGCAGAAGCAGAGGCCAGGGCTCTTCCTCTTTCCACCTGTCTAGCTTAGGTTCAGAAATTTGACCTACTATTAAATCCATATTATTTTTTAAATGCCTGTATATTCTTATTAATTGTCAACTGTAAAAGTACATAGGTAATTAAGAAAAGTAGGCTTTTATTTCTCCTGTGTAGTCTTCATCCTGACAAATGTATTAGCTTTTGATAATGGCAGGAGGAATTTTGAATTTTGAAATCAAAATTACTGTTGTTGCATCTCAAGAAGCATGGAATTCCTAAGTCAATTTTGAATTGGGAAATATATCGGAATTTATTACTCTATGTTAGAAGTTTATGTACATTAAAAGTTTTTCCCGATTAGTAAATTTGAGTTTATTTCTTTAGTTAGCCAGAAATCAAATTATGTTTTGAAATGCAAAATATGTAACAATTTTGAATCTAGTTCTATTTTTTATGAAGAACAGTGTTTATAAACTTATGATTTGCTTACTCAGAATGTGGGATTTCAGTAATATTTAAAGGCAGCTTATTGTTAAGCATTTTTCTACATTTAGTGAGATTATTTTAAAAATGTGAGATAATGCCATCTTAAAATGTGTTTTTTTTGAAAAATGGAAAACCTTTCTGCCCCAAATAGCTGTGCTTTTGAAACTAGGACAAGACATCCCAAGATGACTTGTTTCCCGGCAATACCAAAATCATAAGCTGTGCTTACTTAGTGACATCGTGGGACTTCAGTAAGGGGGAAAAAAGTGCTCACACTCCTCGTCTGTAAACTTGGAAGATTTCCATGAGCTATCATGAAAGTATTCAAATCTTACATTTACTAGATTGCTTTTTTCATGATAGACCCACTGATACTAAGATTTGATAATCTAAATTTTCTGCTGATATATTAAGCATAGTATTTGTTCAGTGGGTATTTTCATACTGAAGGTAATCTTGGGATTCTTCTATTACAGATGCGGACAGATTGTCTGAGATTTCTGCTCGGTCAGCGGCTTCTAGTCTTCGGGCTTTTCAAACTCTGGCACGAGCTCAGAAAAGAAAGGAGAATTTCTGGGGCAAAACATAAACCCAGTCTTCTTGTCCAGGGAAACACTGGCATGATTCCTCTGTACTGTTCACTGTATTAAGACTTTTGGAATGTTTCCATTTTTTTTTTCTGACACTTCCAACTTAAATTATTTGATTTTTCAGTAGTCAGTTCATTTCACCCAGAAATTTTTGACACAGGCTTATCCAAATTTAACTTTTAAAGAATTCTTTTGCACCTGTCTGTGAACACAAAGGTATGGATATTATGTAGTTCTTCCTACATGCTGTCTCTTGCATCAAGATCTACCCTGATTGTATCCCTAAGATTGGCCCTGGACATTGTCACAGCTGTAGATGTTGAAGAGGCGTTTCCTTTAGTGTTTACGTCACCACTTCTGTACACGATTGCAGTGTTATGAGAATTGTCCTTTAAAAATCCAGCTGTATATATTTTTCTTATTTATGTAACAAAATTTGCTGAGGGAATATGTATATTTTTGATTTTTGTGTGTATTCTATTTGTACAATAACTTTGGCATACATTTGAATAATGTCTGGATTTTAAGAAATTATTTGTATGATGGAGAGTTAAAACTTTGTAGACATTTTAAAATTAAAACTGATTAGGTATGTTTGACTTCTCCAAAAAGATATTATGTGGAATAAATTTCTTCTAGAAGCATTCTAATGGGTAACTGGTTAGTCAAAAATTATACCACTTTTGCAGCTGTCAGAATGCAGTGAAACTGAATCCATGGTATTTTTGCGCAAATAACAGAATTTTCAAAGCAGACTTTGAAATTTTAACACCAACTTTTTGATTATGTTTTCTCATAGGACATGTTCAACTGTTCTTACTGTCTATACAAATCATGATAAATAAGTTTTTAGAAAATAATGGGTTTTGTAAACAAGTTACATAAAATCTTTACAATAATAATACATATAAGC